TCCTAATTATATTTTAGATTTTTTATATTTAAAATGAGATGTTTATCATGTATTTGATTATGTTTATCTGCAGTTAGTTACACGAATTCAGTTATGGGATGAAATCAGATAGGGATGAAATTGTTTAGGGATGAACGAGTTTAAGAGTTTTAAGAGTTTAAGAGTTTTTAAGAGTTTTAGCCAAATGCTTTATAATATAACTAGTTGGATACCCGCGCAATGCGGCAGGATGTCAATTTTTTTTGTAAATCGAATGTATGAAGTTTATGATCATTATAAACTTCAAATTTTATAACGATTGACTGACCAGAGATTTGGAAAGAGAATTGTGTGATTAACAGATTTCCAAACACACATAAGTTTTTATTTTTTAGATTGTTTAATAATGGTTTTCACTTAATGCAACTCATGATCAACAAAAAAACCCCAAAATTCATGTTTAAACAAAACGGAGATATAATCATGTAACTTTATTTATATTTAATTAATCATATTTTACTAATAGAATATATATTATCTTCAAGAATAAAGATTACCTGCGGATACAATAATAATAAAAAGAATAAGAAATTATTTTTACCCATTGAAAGCAAGGTATTGACAATGATACATCTTATTTCACTTGTAAAATACATATTAATATAAAGTAAGATAGTTAACAAAAATTGATAAATGGTGTTTCCAAAGTCTACAAACATTTCAATCATAATCGATGACAAAACTTTTTTAGCTTAATAATCGATCACAAAACATTCCAAAGTACCAGTATTTATATGATAATTCGGTATATAACATAAAACTATATACATATGTGTCATCAAGGGCAATTTGGTAAAATAATGTACAATTGAGGAAGGTCCAGTGAAGCGAAAATGTGAAATCAATGAAGCAGAAACAGAACAAAATAACAACATATGTAAGACTTAAATGTATCTCATAATCAGGTTCATTGAAATAAACTAACCTTTCCCTCCTTTGAAAAATGTTATTCAAGTTGATCCTATGTAAGACGTGTATATAAGCAAGAGACGTAAAATGAACTTCCAGGATTTAGCCTTTTCCCTGCCAAGGATTAAAGCAAATATTACAAGATAAACATATATAAGCATCAATGACAATAAAAAAAACTCCAATGACTACAATGATAGACCATTAGACATTTAGAACTTTGAGAAAACTCCTTCAATTTAGACAAGTCTAACTATGAATTATGGGTAAAGATTTAGATTGCATAATGACATTTGATGTAGGAACCATGAGTAGTTGTACTTTGAAGTTGAAAGGCAGTCAAAGGATAACAAGATGCTAAGAGACATGAAATCAAAAATGGGTATTCCATTTTGCTTTTGGCCAGTAACATTTACCAAAATACCATAGTAACAACACCACACCAATAGAAAACCATTGCTTAGTTTGTAATTATAGCTTCTAATCTTTAAAAATATATTGACAAGAAAAACATAGATTTGCCTACATAGGGCCACACAGGTCACAGGAACACAACTTATATTGCAAGTAAAGAGATCAAATACAAATAATTGAGAATAGGGGTGGCAAAAAATGACTCAATCCGAACCCAATCCAAAATTAGTAGGTTAGGTTGAGTTTTTCAACCCATTTAAATAAATAGGTCAACCCGTCTAACCCATTTATATAGATGGGTTGGGTTGAGTTAGGTTGAATTTTTTGAATTTATATAGATGGGTTGGGTTGAGTTGGGTTGAGTTTTCAACCCATTTAAAATATTATATAATTTTATTTTATTTTTAATATTATATTTAGTATTCTAATTTTTTTATTTTGTTTTATTCTTAATTAAAAATCCTACCGCTGTGAGATGAAACTCCAAATTCCAATCCCCTCCATTACTTTTGATCATCATGATACCCTAAGAAAACCCTTTAGTTCATTACTCTATTATCGCCTCCAAAGCCAATCCAACTTATTTTGAACAATATATTTGTTGTAGTTGTGTTTTATTCAAACTTTGAACAATTTGTTTGTAATTGTCTAGTCCTTTTTTATTTAAAATTTTAAAATTAAATGGTTCAACACATTTATTTAACAGGTTGGATTAAAAAAATTGTAAACAGATCAACCTGCTGTCAACCCAATTAGGTAACAGGTTGGGTTGAGTTGAGATTTTCAACTTGTTTAATAAATGGGTTGAACCCAACCCAACCCGACCCATTACCACCCCTACTTGAGAAGAGGGCTCTGATGAAACATGAAAGAAAGAATATATTGCAAGTATGATATAAATAATACATTATACATATAAAAACAGACAGGAGAAGAGAGACAGAACTTGAAACGATCATTATTATTACCTCGTCAATTTCAGTTTCTGAAGGATGGTATGTGGTTGTGAAAACACTTCAAGATAAGAAGAATAATCGATTTGCTTGCCAAACTTAGAATTTATGTAATCATTGTACAACTCATGCATATCCAGATCCATAGGCTTCCTGCAAAGAGTGAAACTCGTGAAAAAATGCCAAAAAAAAACAAGCATGAGGCTTTGCCACAAGAAAACAAGCATGAGGCTTTGCAACAAATCAAATGGGCCACTAATATTGATACATAATAAATGTTTTTAAATGAGAATGAATACAATCAATTTTTGCTTCAAATACAAGGTCTAAATGTAAAAACCATACATCAAACTATAAACAAAGAGCAATTATTTGACAAATTACAATCCAACAGCTCTACACCATAACCCCCTTACAGGCTTAACCTCTTGGGTCCATGAGAAGTTTCATACTACCATCGAATGAGAAAACCCTCGTCCCTTCCACAGGGGTTAAAGATAGACCTTTTTCTAGATTTCTTAACAAGCATAGCCAGAGAAGCCTATACARTTGCTTAAGTGGCTAACAAGTAACAATCACATGTTATAAGAGATATTCCATATTGATAATTTGCTCTTCTTTGTATGTTTCCATCATAACTCTTAGCTTTTTGTTGAGACCCCCTAAATTTTATCCTTGCCTCCAATATTTATATGGTATTTCCTCTATCAAAGCAAAGAAAGTGAGGTCACGGTGGTTCTCCCATATGTTGACAAATACCTCCATCGCAGTTTTATACTTCAACCACAACATTGCCTAGAAAGATCATTCAACCCTCGTTTGTTTCAAGTGAAGATGAAAAACAAATAATTGACAATTCATGATGATAAGACCCAATGATAGTGCTAAGCATGACTACTTCGATCTAAAAAGAAAATATATCAAGAGTACTAACCTCTCCACTGAACTCAATTTGCGGTTCCTCTTGGAGTAATTGCT